TATATTTGTATATATATATTTCATTAAAATATTATAACATTATTGTAATATATTGTAAATATGTATAAATATTATTGTAAATATTTTATTTAAAAATTTTTAAATATTTATAAATTTATTGTATTTTTATAAATTTTATAATTCAATATTAAAAAAATTCAAATATTAAAAAAAAATAAAATATTTATTATTTTATATCATTTTTTAAAATACAAAATAAAATTTAAATTTAATTTTATATTTATTTGAGAATTATTTATAATATTTCAGGTTAGCCTTATATGTGTATGAATATTTATTGCACGTTGGAGCACAAAAAGCAGCACAGACATTTTTATCAGAGGTAATCATTCAAAATTATTTTTAAAATGAAACCTGACTATAATAAAAAATTATTATATATTGTTACAATACTTATATTTTATTTTATTACATAGATACGATGGGAAAAAAATATTACTCTTGGTGAACCACCTGGATTTTTACATTCTTGGTGGTGGTAAGCATTATATGTTTTATATTTTATTGAAAAAAATAAAATAATCTTCTATATAAAAATATTAATTTCCTTCAGAAAGTTATAATTTGAATTAATAAATGAATAATCAATTTAATATATTTTAGTGTATTCTGGGATCTGTATTCAGCAGCACCAGAGCGACGGGATTCCTGTGAACACAGCAGTGAAGCCAAAGCATTTCATGATTATGTTAGTATTGTTTCGTAATTTAATGAAATTATATATTTATTATAAATATTTAAAAATTTACAATAATTTTTTTTTTACCATCAGGGTTTTGTAAACAGTGGTTATGGTGTTAATGGCATTGCTCATGTGAGTTATATTAATATTCATATTTATTATATGTTATTTAATTTTAATATTTATTTATTAGTATTTTAACATGATTTAATTTCATATATTTTCAATTAAGTTTAAATTTAATAGCATATAAATAATAGATATTATTAGAATTTGCATAGAGATAATATTAAATTGATATTCTTAATTATGAATTAATGACTAGGTAGATAAATAATTATCAAATAATTACAGAATGCTGGTCCAGCACCTTCTCCTATAGGACAAATGCCTCCCAATGATGGAATGCCTGGTGGTCCAATGCCTCCTGCTTTCTTTCCAGTAAGTTTTTTTTATAACTTTATAATATTAAACAATTTTATTTTATTTAATTTCATTTCAAATAAATAATTTATATTTGAAAACTTAAAAAGTATTTAACTTATTTATGTTCATTTGCATATATTCATTTTATATATGTTCATTTATGTATGTGTGTTCATTTATACATATTTGTTAATAAACTATTATGTCTATGTTTTTCTTAAATTTGTGAGCAAGAAGATTTATATAAGTATCTATTTTTGATAACAGACATTATCATTTATTAGCTATATTTATTTATTAAAAAAAAATTTATTAATGAACTTTCAATTTTTTTCATTATGATGTACATAATTAATGAATTATTGTTAAACATGCCTTTTATGTCTATATGTGCGTATATACGTACATATATATATATATATATATTAAGAAGAGGAGAAATAAAAAAAATAAAAATATTTTTATCATATACAATTTATATATATATATAATAATATAATTTAAGAGATAAATTAAAAAAAAATTGTTAAACAATTCATTTTCTAATTTTAAAAACAAAAAAATATATATTAGTATATATATAATAATATATATACTATATATAGTATACATACTAATACAGTTTTTTACAATTTTTATTATAAAGAAATTAGATATATTAACTGTATATAAACACATCACAAGTATTTATATGTATATACATAAATATATATAAATATCTGTACCATTGTTACCATTGTTATGCCTAGTTTCAAGTTTCATGCATTATAATTATACACTTGATTCAAAGCTTTTAATATTTTCTTTGTATATAAGAAATGAAAAACTTTTGAAAAGTTATAGATTGTTATTAATTTATATTGATTATTATATATACTATATTTAATAATTTAAATAATCTTTGACTAAATCATTAATAAATATAAAAAATAGTCAACATATGCAATAATAATAATATATAACATAGAAATATGTAATACATAATATATAATTATAATGTAGTATTTATAATAAATAAAATTATATAAAATTATTTAAACAATTTTGTATACATAACATATGTATAACATATATATTACTTATATGAAATCTCTTATGCTTTATTCAATTCATGTATAATCATTAATACTAATGTTTTTATGTATAATACTTGTATGTAATTTCATTCATCTAATTCCTATAAATGTACACAATATTATTGAAACATATATTAGTTTTGAAACAAGTGTACATTTGGATAAAATTCTCATACCATGCTTGTCTATACTGTATCTATGTACTTATTTTCTCTCTGCTATGTATCTAACACTTGTATGTGCGTTCCTCTACCATTCTCACTTTCTGATCTCCTCTCTGCATAAAGCAGATTTCTAAAATATATCAAAAAAAATTTTGTATAAATATTAGAAAATAGTTTTAGTTCTAATAATTTTATCATAAGTTTATAATTAATAGTTTTATACCTTGTGCTGACTTCAATTTTGTATAAGAAATTTGTACAAATGTTTTAAAATGATATATTATTAAAAATATATTTATTTTTTTATTTTTTTAAATTATTATTTACAATATTTTTATTCTACTTTAATTTTAAAATCTGAATTCATTAAATGTATTTACTTTTAGTATAATAGTTCAATGTATTATTATATTTATTTTTTAATTATTATATTTCCAAGCAATTTTTCTTTATTATTATTATTATTATTATTATTATTTTTTTTTTTTAATACTTATATAACACATTGTAGAGTGTTATATGTGAATGTCAGCTAAGGTCACACTTCTTAGGATTTCTAATATATTTAAAATAAAAGCCTGCTTTAGATAGTAGTCTAGCATTCAGTAAAAGCGGTCTACGAATTTAAACGACCGTATAAATTTATATTTATCAATATATATATATTATATATATATATATGTATGTACATATACATATATATCATAAAAGGAATATATTTAGGAATTAAAAATATTATATTTTTAAAATAAATAGATATAATCATTTTACGAGAAAAATATATTCTCGTTGACCGCTTATAATTTCATTTACAATAAGTAGGTAAAAAAAAATTCTAGTCATGCATATTTGCTTGTTTAACATTTATTATATATTAAGTCATTATTTTAAGGTATCAAAATATAAGTTCAGATAGATATGATAGAAATAACATAATTTCACTTTGAAACATTTTGATGTATTCTTAAGTAAAAAATATTTTCTTATTTCTTATTTTCTTATTAAAAATTTAATTTCAAAGTGAAGTAAAATGTCTATGCATTCAGTGCTAGATTTTATTTCGCGTACAAAGTCATAATTACGAAATAATATATTAATATGGATGAATTTATGTCAAAAACAATATTTATCATTATATTATATTTTCGTAATTATAACTTCTAGATTTTTAAGATGCTGACCAATATAGTATTAACACAATCATACCCAAGCCTTCTAGTCTAGCTGTTGCCTGGATCGCAGTGTTGCTACATGTCTGTCGTTTGCGTTGCTTGTTGCAGAACAACTCGACAATGCGACCATCTCCGCCCACACACCCCTCATCACAGCCATCCCCCCAGCACCCCCAGCCGCCCCCGCCCCCACACTCGCAGATGATGTCCACTCAGGTAAGCCTCATTTGACACATACACTATCACTCATGGAGAATCATTCAATCCACTCTCATTACACCATATCATCATGTACCTATGACTGTTTGCTCGAAATTGCTTCTTTTCCTACCAAAATTATTTCTATTGTACACTTTTCAACCTATCATTCTTTTAAATATAGTACTATATAGAACACACAAATAGGATTTATAAAAGTGGACACATATAACTATATCATTCAAAGTACAAATTTTCTAAATTTTTTTGCATAATAAAAATATATTAAATATATTAAATTGATTGAAGCAACATTATATTTTTTAAATGTAAAAAAGAAAATAAAATATTTTGAATAAGGATAACAATAAAAATTTTAAGGTAAGAAAAAAGACTTTCTTAACATTGTATCGTATAAAAAATATTAAATTATCATTTGTTTTTGATGAGCTTATTTTAAAATAAATGCACATTATAATTTTGATTTGTTTTTATTTGTTCTTTGTTATAATCCTTTATTGTTTGTAATCCTATTTGCACATTAATATAACACATATTTATGAAGTGCATTATGATGAATTTCCATCAAAATGCATTTGTTATATGGCCTATTATGTGATCACTGCTTGTTGTGGCTGTCTGGTATGTCAGTTTTGTGATATAAAATAGTTTTAATATATTTTGAAATTTTATTTATGTAATTTTATTAGATTTACTTAATGTATGAATTTCTGACTTGTTACAGTTTATGGGTCCTCGATATCCTGCTGGACCAAGACCTGGTGTACGTATGCCACAAATGGGAAATGATTTTAATGGGGTATGTATAACTATATTTTATTAATATAGTTATTAAATTACATTAAATTTTAATTCAAAATAATTATTAATATATTGCTATTTTTATTTAGCCTCCTGGACAACCAATGATGCCAAATAGCATGGATCCAACAAGGCAAGGTAAGAGCTCAATTATATGCTAGATTCATTGATTTTTTTTCTGGCATTGATAATAATTGCGAGAGGAGAATGGCATAGACGCATGCATACCAAAAACCACACAGCAATAAATAAATCAGTAATTATTAAAAGTGGATTGGATTGCTGTGATGTGGAGTGGATTGGTTTTTGAATTGTCTAGTTACATGCAGTGGTATAGTTTTCAAATTAAATTATTGCATATATTTATTTATGATTCTATATAACAAAATAAATGTATAAATTTAATATATTAACATTAATTAATTAAATTAAATATCTTAATAATAATTAAAATTAATCATTTATACATAAAATTTTTTATAATTAAATTGTAATTATTTAAAAAACTTTTTATTTCAAAAATAAATATATTTTCTTTATTTTTTCATTTATAAAATACGAGACATAAAATATCATATATATATAAATAATATAATTTTATAATCATATAATTCTATAATCAAATAAGAATATTAAAAATAAAATTTAACATACATGTATAAATTAATAATAAAAATTTAAAATTAAAAAAGTAAATTTAAGAATCTTTATATAAAATGAAATATATCGATATATTTTATAACAACATATTTTCATAATATTAAAATAATCTAGTTTTCCTTAATTTTATTCACTATGCGACCGCAAAGTAACTAGACCTTACCGCCATCAACCTGACCTTACCTACCTGCCGTACTAATATGTGCTCTTGTGTTCCTCAGGCGAAGCTGGAGAATTTGTAGGGTGGCAAGGTAGGAAGCAACCCAGCAACCAAATCACACTCACATGACTTAGTCAAGCCTAACTTTTATTTTTTCTCCTGCTCGTTTTAAAGTTTCTGTTCTCACTGTTTACAAATAATTGCACTAGCTTTGTTTCTTTGTGCAATATATGCTCATTCAATTTTGCATCCAATATATCAATTTAATATATTAAAAATATGTTTAACTTTGCTATGAGAACAGTTTTTATAAAAGATACTCAGATTATATAAATTTTATATATATAAAATAACATAAATATACATATTTACGTTTTTTTTAAAAGCGTAAAGATAAATATTTTAACATATAACATAGTTTTTCACTATACATAATGTAATAATCTTGTGGCTAACAAAATATCTTTTGTCGTCATTATAAATCATTGTAGCATAAATTTAACATATACTAAGAACTGTAATATAATAACTTTCATTCAAAATTATAGACTCATTATATTATAAATTCTTTAAAAAAAAAATTTTATATGGCTTAAAAATATCATTTTTTAATTTAGATGCATATTATTAATTATAAAATAATTTTATAAAACTAAATAATTTTTTATATTTTAATTTTTTAAATAAATATTGCTGTGATATTATGTATCATTTGAATGATTGTCTTGTTTGTCATATATTTAATTATATAATACATATTGCACTGTTTTATCTTTTCGTTGTTAAATTTTTAAAAGCTCAAATGTTTAAAAATTATTCAAAAGTAATGCTGTTCTTTATCCTTTGCATGAGCTTTGTTATTTTATTTATTAATTTGTGTAGATGCAAATTATCAATTTAGCATGCCATCCACTCGCTTTACTATTACATACGACTTCGGCAAAGCATGATTCAAATTTTTTAATTATAAAAAAAGAAGACGAAAGAATAAAAAAAATAAAAAAAAATTTTTATCATATTAAAATATTTTCATTTACATGATTTGCCGTTAGTCTAAAAATTCACAATTAGCATTTAGTATTAACATAAAACTAGAACAGTATTAATATTTGTGTTTTTAAAAAAGTGCATCAAAAATTGTTTTTATTACTAGCTCCTCCAGGCATGAACCCTATGAATCCAAGAATGAATCCTCCACGAGGACCAGGAATGGGTCCAATGGGACCAGGAAGTTACGGACCTGGAATGAGAGGGCCACCTCCTAATAGTAGTTTAGGTCCAGGAGGCCCTGGAGGTCCTGGTATGCCACCAATGAGTATGGCTGGACCAGGTGGTAGACAACAGTGGCAACCTAATACATCTACGGTATGATATTATTTGTTCATATTAAAAAAGTTTATTGTTAATTTTTTGAAATTATAAAATATAATTTTTTTTTTTTTATTACAGCCAATGAATTATTCATCATCATCACCGGGTAATTATGGAGGACCACCTGGTTCAACAGGTCCTCCTGGTCCAGGTACACCAATTATGCCCAGTCCACAAGATAGTAGTAATAGCGGTGGTGAAAATATGTACACTATGATGAAACCTGTACCTGGAGGAAATATGCCTGGAGTAAGTAATTTTTATATTGTTTTGATTTGTTGTGAAATAAATTTTATTATAAAATAAATATCTTGCTCATTTTTTGTATATTTATCTGTTAATGAAATATATAAAAACATAATATATTTATTTTATCAGGATTTTCCAATGAGTGGTGGACCAGAAGGTGGTCCAATGGGTCCTATGGGTCCAAATACAATGGGTCCTGTTCTAAATGGTGATGGTCTTGATGGAATGAAAAACAGTCCAGCTAATGGTGGTCCTGGAACACCACGAGAAGATAGTGGAAGTGGAATGGGTGACTATAATCTGGGTGGTTTTGGAGGTCCTGGAGAAAATGTAAGTATTAGGAAACATTTTTCGTAACGACTCTTTATGACAGTCACTCGACGTGTTAGTATGGACTGATATGTTATCATTTATATAATATATTTATTTTGCATAATTTAATTTATATAAATTGTTAAATTATAATAAATAATATTTTAGTGAAATAATAATAAATAATAATAAATTAAAATTAAAATCAATTAAAAACAATATTGATTCAATATTGAGATTTTTAATTTTACATATAAGTCCATATTATAACTGATTTTTCTCCTAATTATTCAGCAATTAACAGATTCAGATGCTTTGATCAATGCGTCAATTAGTTAATTATTCTCTTAAAATAATTTGGGTCTTATTATATTTAGAGGGTTTATCCTAAAGCTTATTCCAATCATCTGGTAAATGCTTAATCTAAAAAAATATCAACATTTGACAAAAATTCGAAGCCCTTATTTAATCATTTAGGCTTTTTGGGATTTTTAATTTATATTACCTTGCATCTAATGTTACAAGTGTTTGGCTCAGATTGTGTCTAACTATTATCATACTAACAGTATGCCTAATGATGAAAACATAAAATGGGTATAAAAGTCATGAAGCATTTAAAAAATTTATAAAAATTATAAATTCTCTTTATAAAAATTATAAATAATTTATAAATAAATTATATTAATTTATTTATAATAATAAATAAAATTAAAAGGTATAAAATTAATGCCTTCTATAATAAAATGTTTCAAGAAATTTTTTACCCATTTTATACCTACAGAAGAATATGAATCAACTTTCATACAATAATATAGAAGATATTCCATAAGGTGTATCGTATATATTAACAAAAATTTTCAAATCAAGATGATTTTTAATTTATATAATTTATAACATTTGTACATTAAATGAATATAATTTTAATTTTTTAATCGTAAAATATAATAACAAATATAAATTTAATTTCCATAAGAAATTATATAATTTATTGATATCAATTTGATTAAATATATATGTAGTATTCTTTATATAATTTTAGTAAAAAAAAATACAAAAAAAATCATAAATATAATTTATGTACATAAGTGATAATACATTTTCTTGGTGACTATATAAAAAGTCGCGCAATATCATTAGCGTGATATATTTACATGTGTAGTCATTCCAAGATGAAATTTCGTCTTGTAATCCATATAGTTAAATATTTTCAATTATTTCAAATTTAAAATTCTTTCATCTACATGATCGTGTCTTTTTCAACTATGATACGCCTTACGGGAAATCGCATAATGTACAATCGTATAGTACAAAATAATCGATTTATTTAACGAACGCGTACAAACGGTATTCTTTTTTAATCTTACGTTATTATTTCGGATTGTGTGAGTAGGATTCTGAATTAAAAAAATAATCAGTAATCTCGCACGTGCGCCTTCTGTATTCCCGACAGTTTTTTTAAAAAATCAAGTCACCTTGGATCCAGCCCCGAGTTCGTAGATGCCGTAAATTTCCCGGTTAATCACGCAATGTGGAAAAGGATCATACACAAACCCTGAGTTTTATGTGCACGTGCAATCGTCACGTGGTACGCGGTTCGTAACGGTTTCGTCAATGGCTCAAGCACGATTATTCATTCGTGGCAAGATAGAGAACGAAAAGAAAACGAAAAGGAAAAAATATACATTCGTGTCGACGCATTTCGATTTGCGTCCGTTAATTAATCGCTCCTAATTAGTTAGGTTAGCATTTAAGTGCTCATTACGCTATTATTACGAAACTATATTTGAATCATTTATAACATGCGCGCGCGCAAAATATACTATATGAATATTTAAAAGTATATATATATTATATATATATATATATGCTTTTCTTGCTAAATACTCACAAGGTTGCAGACTAAAATTTTATTATTCTTTTTCTCTATATTTTTTTTATATTTTATTTTATTTTATTTTTTATTTTAAATAAGATTATTTCTATACACTCTATTATCGACAAGACGATATCTTTTTTATCGACTCGTGTCAACCTCAACATTTATTTATATTTATTTGAACATTAGCTTGTAAGTAAAGGTGCCTGAAAAACACGAACTACTGTGATTATCAATCGCATAATTGTTAATCGATTTCTATATAATTCTCTTTTCTATCTTATTTTTCTTCTTTATAATTATTTTTTTTTTTTTTTTTTTTTTAATTTTTTATTTTTTTTTTTTTTTTTTTTTTTTTTTAATTTTTTTTTTTTTTTTTTTTTTTAATTTTTTTTTTTTTTTTTTTTTTTAATTTTTTTTTTTTTTTTTTTTTTTAATTTTTTTTTTTTTTTTTTTTTTTAATTTTTTTTTTTTTTTTTTTTTTTAATTTTTTTTTTTTTTTTTTTTTTTAATTTTTTTTTTTTTTTTTTTTTTTAATTTTTTTTTTTTTTTTTTTTTTTAATTTTTTTTTTTTTTTTTTTTTTTAATTTTTTTTTTTTTTTTTTTTTTTAATTTTTTTTTTTTTTTTTTTTTTTAATTTTTTTTTTTTTTTTTTTTTTTAATTTTTTTTTTTTTTTTTTTTTTTAATTCTTTAATTCTTTTTATCTATTATCTTTTTTTCATTTTTAATTACACCGCTAGCTCATTGCTAGCTGACTGGCTTATTTTTCATCCCATTATAGAGTTAGGATTTGAATCAGTATTAAGTTAAAAAACAAAATATATTATATTAAGTTCGTAACAGGTAAGGTGTGATAATCTTTGAAAAAAAAAAAAGAATTTTGCGAGATTTTGCAAATTTTTACATTGATCAAATAATTTCGAAATATTCGAGCTAAGTTTCATTTAAATACAAATTTTATTTATTTAAATATTCTGTCAAATTTTGAATGAATTATTGAAACTCTGTAATGAGGTGATTAAATTAGCCGAAATCAAATCGAGTCCCTCCACTGTTTGCTCAGAATTCACTTTATCGATAGAAAAGCAAGTTTGCGCACCATCTATTCGCAGCCATTAACATCGCAATACTTCGCACAAGTATATATAACTAATTAAAATTAACGGATCATTTCCGCTAGTGCCTTGTTTAAAAAAAAATATAAGTAATCATCATATATTTGAATGCAAAATACCGATATCTTGAATATAATAATGCATACAAATCTAGTCATGCAATTTTATGATCGAATATGTTTTAAAAATAATGGTTTTTAATTATTGACTTAGATTCAGATATATTTTAACTTTGGGCCATATTTTTTTTTTTTCTACTATTCGTTTCAATTATAAATTTCTTAAACATCAAATATTTAATAATTCAGATAATTACAAATTAGTTCCTACTAAGAATTAATTCAAATGGTATCGAAAATCTTGTTAGTACTAAGTTCTTTATTTTTCTTAATGAAAACTAATGTACAGCTATATCGAATATTCTATTTGAACATTATGCTACATCGGCGAGTATTGCGAAGAAAATGGTGTTGCGATTAACTTAATAAAAGTACTTGGGCAAAAACGTATAAAGAAAAATGTTATATATATAACGTATGCATAGCAATAAACGATATATATATAACGTAATTATTTTTGTATGGAATAAGAGTCATAGACGGTGTAAGTACTGAACCTACGTGAATGAGTGTGACAAAGATACAAGGAAAGAGAAAGAAATATACGGGCCGATAATGGAGAAAAATACATATATCGTGCGAACCTCCCGGAATCCATCCGTCCGTAATGGTTATAGGTCAGTACCGGACTATGTTGTGCTGCTGTTAGTTGTGTTTAAATTAACTTAAATTATAACAAAAAAAGGTATTGATCGAATTATGTAAAACAATATAAAAGAAGAGAGAAAGAGAGAGCGAGAGAGAGGGAGAGAGAGGGAGGGAGAGAGAGAGCGCCAATTGCAAGTGCATGCTCTGAGAGCATCGGCAAGATCGACTATGTTCTCGAGGACGATTAAATAGTTTTTTTCTACATATTATTATTGTGACTTCTCGAGAGAGTTTAATTTTTGTTAGCATTATATATTACATCTAACCATTATATTATCTTATTACTTTTAGTTTTTATGTATATTTTCTCTTTTATATATACGTATATATATATATTTTATATATATATGTATATAATTAGAAATACGTATTTTTAATATTTATGATATTATATTTTAAGAAAGAAAATGTGACGATAAGGAATAATATCGATAATAAGAATGAGATATATACTTATGAGATACTTTGCTTTTTTTAATAATATGAAATTATGTAGTTATACTCGATGAAGAAAAGACTTTCAAAGTTTTTATGACACGAAACAGTCGGTAAACACTAGTCGTATTACATGCATATGCATATTATTTTTTGCAATTTATTTTGTCGAATTTAAAGTCAAAAGAATCGAAAAGTTAGGACTTATAGTGAAGAAGACTGTTTTATTATTTTAGCTTCCGATATTTTATAAAAATATCGTCGTTGAGATATGACTGCTGCTTGCCGTTGTTCCGGGGTATTCACCGTGCCAATGATGTGCGTACTTTTAATTGGGGAAAAAGGAAGCACACACACATATACATATATACAACGAAAGATAGCCGCTTGTAAACTTTAATACACGTCTAATTGGTGCGAATTTTTCGGTGTATGAAGAAATGTTCATTTAGTCTGTTCATAAAGACGAAAAAGTTGATGGTAGTACGCGGTCAAGATTCGAAGTTCGTAACGACGAAATAAGCCAAAATAAAATAAACGTGGAATTGTTAACGATGATAAGAACAGTAGTAGTCTTTTCGTTTGTTTGTAACACGACTTGTCGTCGTGCGCTATTTAAAAAGTTTCGAGATATTTCGATAGAGCGTGCTTCGATCGAATATGTGCATATGTATAATATATGAATATATACATATATATATATATATGACGCGAAGCGCATCATGATAATACTTTTCAAAGAATCGTCGATTTACTTTTAATACAGCCCCACGTTGTAAGCCACATAAATGAATGGCAATGAACATTACATTTATTAATATATGCCTAAAGCAGGGGAGATCGAGACAATAAATGTAAACCTGTTACACTGAGAATATTGCGTTTTTCTTTTTTATTTGCGTTCAAATCCGCAGGGTGCTGGCTACTAGAATATTTATATATGACTATCTGTTTTCATATACACTTTATTTTTCTTTTTTTCTTACGCGATCAAATATTGATTTAAATCTTTGTCTGAGATATATTGGTAATCACATGTCACTTGTGTTTCACATTGCATTATTACCGATCGAACGAATATTTTTCGCTTGATCGCTTGTTATCCTGATGTCTTCACATTAGTTGAGCTCACAGCAATTCTAAGCTATTCATTCTATACAATT